TAATAAATAAAAATAAATAAATATTAAAAAAAAAAGAATTTTTTAAAGAGCTGGGGGTACCCTCAGCTTAGTGGTAAAGTACCCCTGGGTTCAATCTCCTCTAACAACAATAAAAAGTTTACAACTTTTCTTCCATTCTGCATGGGATGGTCCTTGGGAGGCCTGAGGCCAGGTGTGAAGCAGCGTGGAACTGCCCTGGGAGTCAGCTCAGCACCGCCTGGGGGCGCTGCTGCTCTCAGGTGGGGGGGGGCACCTCTGGCTGCTGCGCAGCTCCGAATGCTGAACACAGACAGTGACTCAAGCACATCATGGGTGGGAGGCGCACAGTTCACCAGTGCTGAGGAGAGGATGTTCCCCAGGAGAGCCACCAGCATGCTAGCAGGAATCCTGTAGACACGCCCTGGAGGGAAGAAGGCTCCCTCCCCACGGAGAGGGCCACAAGGCCCCCGGAGGTCAAGGTGGAAGGCAGACCTTGCTGCGCACCACTCACCCGAGAAGCTCCAAAGTGATGGTGCCCCGGGGCTCCGCCTCCACGCTCTTGCCCCAGAACTTGAGCTTCGGGTAGATGGAGCCATGGAACGCGAAGTCCTGCTTGAGACCCTCTGAATAAAACGCACTGATGGGAGGGTGATGGCTGACCTGCTCAGATATAAACCTGAACCCTAAGTCTTCCCTGGGTCCAAAAAGAAGAGAACAGTGCAGGACGGAACAGAAAAGAGAGACAGTCATGTTAGAGACAATGAAGTACAGGTGAGGCTGCTCCCCACAGCCCGGACCAGCGGGTTCACCCTGCCCTCCACCTGCTAGAGCACACCTAGCCAACCCAGAGCGGGCTCAGGCTGGTCAGCCCACCCTACTGCTCACAGCCTGGGACACCTGAGCCTGGGGCTGGCCACAGGTTGACTCCAAAGTAGGTGACCTTGGTCCCAAACTCTCACTTCAACCCTCCAGGGACCCTGATGCTAACAAACTCAGAGTTTTGCCCCCAGGCCTTGAAAAAGCGTTCCTGTCCAGCCTCCGTAAGGCTCCTGAAACTTCTGGGATGAAATGTCTTAGACTTCAAAACATTCCTGGCTAGGAAACAGGACTTTTAGCAGACTTTCTTATTCGATAAAAACGTCACTTTTAATTGTTCCGGAACTGTGAATACACCTACAGTTGTAGTCATTAAAAATTATAAAAGCTAAACCACATAATTACTAACTTAGCTGGAATCAGAATTCCCAATCATTACAGAGGAAGGAAAGTTGAAAAATTAGGTTTTAAAAGGTTGCCTACCAAGGTATGTAATTTACAAAATGAATACTTGTCTAAGAAAAGAAAGTGTATTTTTAGCTACACAGAATGGTGTGAAGGGATGGAAGACGCTGGCTGGGGCAGGACCGGGACCGCCAGTCCCATGGTGCAGAGTGGCACACGCTGGCAAGTGGGCCTGGAGAGGACAGCGTGACGAGCCAACTGTGCAGGGATCCGGAAAGAGACTCTGCTTTTTCATTCTGTCTGTGAAGCTTTAGCTCTGCCCTGAATTAAGTCCCTAAGAAAGACGAACAATTCACTGTGCGTCATACCTGGCGCTATGTCCCAGGCTGTTTGCACCCTTCGCAGCCATGCAGCTGCTTGCCCTCGCTCCAGAGCACCTCGCCCATCAGTGCAGCAGGCCCTGCTGACCAGCCCTACCTTCTAGAGGCAGAGGCACTTGGGGAGCAGGTGCTCGGCCACTCGCCACCAGCCAACCTCAGAGCCAAGCTATTTTGCTCCAGATGGTTCCCACTCTGGCAGGGCACAGGGAACGTTGGCAGCTGAACCAGGAGGGAAGGAAGGAGAAGCAGCTGGCTCTGCTTCTCTGGTGGAGGACTGGGCCCAAGGAGAAAAGACCAAGGGTCCCGGGTGGGCAGTACGAACAGCACCATGAGGCAGCTGCATACTCGGCCTCACTGGCTGCCCAGGGCTCATGAGGAGTACGGTGGCAGCTTCCCCCATCGGTGGGCACTTCCCCTAAAGTACAGTCTCTAGGACAGCCTCCAAATAACTGCAGCTCCTGAGGCAACGAGGCAGGGAGAAAATCCCCGCCAGTCCAGTCCTCCGGAGGTCTGGTCACCACCCTGTGAGCTCCTGACTGTGAGAACCAGGCCTTGAGGCAAGGTGCACACAGCCATACATGTGTGCAATCATACACGAGTGCTTGCTGTCACCTGTCTTGTCATGTCCCCCAGGAGCCTCACTTCTAGAACCCCAGGAGGGGTGGTGATGCTCTCCAGAAGAGCTCCCAGAAGGGGTTCCAGCAGGCCTCTAAGACCTTGTGCGGTCTGGCTAGAGCTCCCAGCGACCACTCCAGAGGCACAGCAGGGCAGGCCGGGGCAAGCAGGGCACAGGGTGAGCAAGGGCCTCCACAGTTGCTCCTGGATTGGCCTCTCAGCAGCACACAACATAGTGCTGCGGGCAGATGGCCTACTTCTACTTCGTGCTTCCTCCTTCCACTGAGGAAGTCACCAGACTGCTGTGCTGCTTCTGGCTGTGCGCAATGTCGGGCTAGGTGGCCTGCTGTGTTGGACTGAACAGCCTACTTCAGCCTGCCCTACACTTCTAGGATTTTATTCCATCAGCACAATATTCCACGCGTGCATGTGTATGTGTGTGCACGCATGCGTGTGTGCTAAACACCTTGCCTACAGCTCTGTACATACGCCACAGCTCCTAACCCAGAGTCCACCCTCAGAGCCAAGAACCAGTGCTGAGGAGAGACCTGCATTCATCCGTCAGCATCATAGCATGACAGCCTGCCTTACCTGATCAGCTCATAGGTCTCTCCCAAGAGCGGGTTGAATGGTTTGCCAGTCCTCTCCCACTGGGAAGCCACAGCAGAGACGGCGAACGCAGCCACTGACTGCAAAGAGTGCACAGGGAGGGTCAGCGGGCTCCAGCCAGGAGGTCAGAGAGAGGCGCACTTGCATGATTTGCGCTAGCAACTCCTTGCTGTCCGTTAGCAATATGTTTTGAGATTACAGAACTTCCTGCCAAATGCCATTTGTCACCCACAATTTCCTCAAAGCCACAAAGAAAAGAAACACGACATTGTTCAACACCCCAGCAATCAGGCCCCCTGTGAACAAAGGGGCAACATCAGTTTGTCTGTCTGCCTTGTTCACAAGTATCTGGAAGGCTCAGTACACTCACTTCTGCCCACAGACATATGCATGCAAACACAGGCACCAAACGTGAACACACATGCATGCACACAAGATACATGTGCACTTGCACGTGTGCCACCTGCATGTACCCACACAAACATGCGCATGTGCACTGGCGCACACAGACACGGCAATGAAGTATGGTGTGAGGCTGGGCCTCCAGCGGGAGGGATGCTCAGACCCCTGTGGAGAGCACACTGCAGGACACATGGCAGGCTGCTCATTCGACTCCTGTGGTGGGACGTTGAGTCCTGAGGTGACAGGCTCGACCTTCAGAAGGGCCACTGCACAGCTCACCTGCATCCTCTCCAGGGGCTGAGTCTGGCGGGAGGCTCTATGGATGAGGTACACGTGCTCCATGTACTCCGTGATCCGCTGCAGGAAGCTTAGGGGCTCATTGAAGGCGATCGGCATTGTGATTTTGGACAGCTCCTGCAAGGACCCAGAAGACCTGTTGTGGTGCCCACGGGTCTTGACTGCACGGCGACCCTGAACCGCCTCTTTCCAGGCCTGCTGACCCTATCCCTGACCCACAGCAAACACAGCGACTGCAGAGGAAGCCCTAGACTGCTGCCTTCTGCCACCTTCCCCCACACTGCTTCCAGACGAGTAATGCCAGGCCGAATCACTCCCACCAGGCTGGGTAACCACACATGGCTGCATCCCAGCACTCGAGCTGAGATGGGAGGACTGCAAGTATAAGGCCAGCTTGGACTACCACCAAGCTCAAGGCTAGCCTGAACTAAACAGGAAGACCCTGCCTCAAAAAAAATAAGAAAAAGACAAATATGATAGCACACACCTATAATCCCAGTACTCGGAAGGCTGAGACAGAATTTCTGAGCTTAGGGCCAGTCTTGTGCTACATAATGAGTTTAAGGCCAGCCAGAACTACATAGTGAGACCCTATCTCAAAAACAAAACAGAAAGACGAGGAGGAGGAGGAAGAAGAGGAAGAGGAGAAGAAAAGGAAAAAACATGACTCTTAGCTGGATACAGTGGCGTGCGACTGTAGTCCCAGCTACTCAGGAGGCTGAGACAGGAGGACTCCTTCATCCAATAGTTAGATACCAGCCTAGGGAATGTGAGATCATACCTGAAGTAGAAGAAAATAAATCACCCCCACTTCCACAGCTTTCAGGGTGACACGGAAATCCCTAAGCTGCCAGGCAAGGCCCTCCATCCTGTACCCTTGTGAGTGCACAAAGGTCTATCAGAGTCGGGAAAAGCAGCCCAGACACCTTCTCCCAGGCACTGCGCTAGCAGACGTGAGGCTGTGACTCTGGCTTCCGCAGTGGGGAAAGGCCACGAATACATAGGAAAGACGAGAGGGCTTCCAGGAGGAGACAGCTGAGCATAGCAGGATGGGCTCTGGAGGGGGTCAAGCACTCAGGAGGCGGAAGCTGAGTAGGGCTCAGAGCACTGGAAGCTCCTGGGCAAGGGGGGCCTGGCATGGAGCTGGGAGGCTCTAGGTGCCTCCTCTGTCCAGAGCCAGGACAATCCTTCTGTGGCTGCCATGAGGCTCAGTACCCCAGGGTGGCCGTGGAGCCCCACGACTGGCCCTGTTGGCTCTGACCACAGCCTGGTCCTAGGAGACCCCACAGGCCAAGCCTGAGCTGAGGCGAGAGCTGGGGCAGGCTGGGAGCCCAGAACAAGGCTGCCTGCTCAGGAAATCCTGAGAGAAGTGGGGGTGCAGCCTCAGGAGGGCTGGCCCTAGAGTTACAGCTGTGTTATTTTGACCACATGGAGAGGCCACCAAGAAGGCAGGAAGGATGAGCTCCTAACTACATCCTCATTTTAGGGACAAGTGGAAGAGCCAGTGTTGAAGGAGACCCTGAAAGAGCTGGCAGTAAAAGAGCAGGGACGCAAACTGAAGAAAACACATGTGATCTGTATTCCAAACAAGGCCGAACGCCCTTCTGTGTGCTACATGCCTATAAAGCCGGAGGAGCCCAGGCCACAGGCCCGGGGCAGTGGGAAGCTGGCTCTGGTCAGGTAAGGAAAGACAGTGCCTTCAGCAGGTGCAGCTCACATGCTCGCTGCCCGGGACCAGCTGGGCGCGCAGGTGGACAGAGCCCCAGAGGGACCAGCCACAGCACGCACTCATCCACTTCCAGGGGACAGGCTGGGCGC